CATTTTTGGCTTCCTTTACGCCCCTTTCAAACTACCTGTCTTCTTTGTCAAAAATGTTAATATTCTGGAAGTGAAATATAGATTGCAAACGACCCCCATTCCAAAGGGGTGGACCCGTTTGTCCGTATTTGCATGTTTTCTAAGCAAAAACAAGGCTTTGTTGGGCTACCGTTTAAAGCCTCAAACTCTTCTTGACACTATGGAACAACTATGACCTGGATGACTGAGAATCTTCAGCAGCATATTCCTCTCCTGATACTTTCCATTTTTCTCTGTATTTCATTATTACCAACATTTAGCTAAGGTAAATCCGATATCTGGGTAACGTTCCGATATTTTCTTGCTGCAGACGTTCTTTCATGTCATCGATATAAAGACGAGGAAAGCAACATCCTTTAAGTACTACACTGATGCTCTGGTGGTCTTCCATCACATCAATGCCTACGAGGAGGACGGCCACGTGGTGTTCGACATCATCACCTACAAGGACAGCAACCTGTACAACATGTTCTACCTTCACAACATGACAGACGAGACGGACAACTTCATCAACGCCAACAAGGAGTTCTCCCCGCCCTTCTGCCAGAGGTTCATCTTGCCTCTCAGCATCCAGAAGGTAAGACTCAGGTCTCAGCGATGGATGAAAGCCTCGGTTCATTCCGTCATGGTCGCTTCAACGCGTTACAGGATTCCCCCAAAGGAACCAACCTCGTGACTTTGACGGACGCGACAGCGCAGGCGGTGATGCAGGACGACGGCTCCATCTACTGCAAACCTGACACCGTCTTTAAAGGTTGGTCAGATACACTTAATGATGTGTAAGGAAACCACGATATCCAGCAAATCTAATGATTGAGACATTTTCCCAGGCATGGAGCTGCCAGGGATTAATTACAACTTCAACGCCAGAAAGTACAGATACTTCTATGGCTCCAGGCTGGAGTGGTCTCCTCATCCCAACAAGGTTTGTCAATGATTGTTGGTGATTATGTGGATCTAATTGTTTATGGTATATATATTATTTATGGTGTATTTATAGTGTCTCGGTAGGGTGAAGATTTAACAGGATTTAACAAGTTTCTTGCAATTTAATAACAAAAAAGAGGAACAGAAGCAAAAGTCCAAAAACATATATGTCATATATCATTATGTTACGACTTTATTCTCATAATGTTACGACTTTTTTCTCATTATTCTATGTGGTTGACATGATGCAGAATAAGGCTACGTTCACACTGCAGGCCTTGATGCTCGATTCCGATTTTTTTGTGAAATCCGAATTTTTTTTTTGCGTTGCCTTTCTTACTTCCAAATATATGCTACTAGTCATACAACGCAAGTGTCCCACATGCACAGTAGACAACGCAATGACGTCACAGGCCAGCGTGCTCTTTTTTTACGGAAGTAAACATGGATGCTAGTGCCGGCGCGCATTTAGCGATCTTTTCCAACCATAAAAACAATCTTTTCAATATGTTTAA